AGGGAAAGAAATAAAGATGGGAAATAGAAGAATAAATGCAGAGGCATAATGATGAACAAGTAGCCATAGAATACTAGTTGTGGCAAGCAAGCATTGTATTTGTATTACAAAAAACAGAAGAAAACAAATACCTGCCTGCCTAAATGGATGAAAGAACAAAAGCTAAATTGGATGCCAGTTCCCCTCCCTGTTGCTTCTCAAGGACCCATGCATGATTACTGTTTTATTGCCTATATATATATATGCAGATCAGAAAGAAAAAAACCCAGAAGGCCCCCACTTCTCAACATAAAGAGGAGCAACACTACAGGGTTTATGGTTATCATCTACAACCTTTGAGAAAGAAAGCATCTTTCTAGGATGCTCCGTCCCCCACTGCACTCTCTCTGCCTATGTCTTCTTTCCCAATTCCTCAATTTTTTCACAACTTTGCTTTCAACAGGTCCTACATGTCTCTATCGTTTGAAGTCCGAATACGTGTAATTACTCGCAAACTATTTATATTAAGCATGCACATATTCGTAAAGTTTAGAGACACCGATTTTGTTCGCCGGATACAATATGCAAGACAGCTGCAGTATATCCAGACAAAAATTTATTTTTTGGAGTTTTCAGTTGAGCTGGATGCATTTCAATTTTGTGTACTAATGAATTAACTGTTTACTTCTGTCGTTTTGGTTAAAGAAGGAACCAGGTATAATTGTATTACAGCTAGCTCCACCCGAGTGTGTTAATTTTGTAAAGAGCATAGTTATATATGGACTGCAATCTGGCATCTCCTATGGCCTCCTCTAACATAACGTAAAAGAGGAATTAAGACAAAAGATGGTGCATTGATATTGCCATATTGCAAGATTTCTATACAAATGCCATCATAATGAATATGGACAATGATTGGATATCCATGCTTTTAATAAGATGTTATCAACTCTGGCCTCTGCTTAACAAAAAAATAAATATATTATATGAAGTTTCCGTCACAAGCATATAAAAAAGGCTATCAGTTTACATCATTTTAATAATTACGGTATGACATATATATTTTTTAATGTAAGTGATGGTGTAAACTATAAAGAGAGGGGAGTTTCTTACACACACACTATTAAATTGTCATGGGAGTCTGAACCTGAGAGCTAGACCATTGATCTGCAAGTTAAGGCCCTTTCACTTGGTTAGACATCGTTAAATTTCTCGCTTAGTGTTAAAATGAAAAAAAGGGTCTCTTATAGAATCCCAAAATAAGAACGCTCAACTAAGCATACCAACTTTTTTGGACGTACACCCACCACACCAATCCATGAAAATGGAAATACGTAAACATCAGAAATCTAATCATCGTTAATAAATTATATATGGTTAGGAGTTGGGAAACCCTACTTGATTAATCACAACGTGTACTATAATTGATGTTGAAGTTACTAAAACCTGATTAGATTAGGTAATCCCTCCTAAAACTTGAGCATGGTAGCCCACGTTCAAAGTTAGGGATACTCAATGCTTGTGGGAAGTGATAATTTGTCATGGTCCCCTAGCTTTAATCACTAAAGGATGCTTCTCTTTCCACTCGCAAAGCCTGGAAAAGAGAACTGTGGCTGTCGGGACAACAGCAAAGGCTGAGTTTTCTTTTCAATTGTAATAAATGATAAATGAAAGATAGTTGTTGAATAATTTTTTTATTAAAAATATAGTATTATTACTTAATTAATGACCATATTACGAGAACTAATCATCCCGTTAGTTGAGTTATGGAAAAGTGAAAGTTATGAGGAAGAAAAAATAGCACAAATGGACCCCCAAAAGCTTGAGAGAGAAAAGGTTTGGGACCTCCATATGTATTATATATTCTGTGATGATGATTACTAGTGGCCTAGATTTGGTCATTAAACATCGTCACTCCGCCACCTAACACGTATTTAGTAACCAAAAGCTCTCACTTAACGAAACTAATTGTAAGCTAAAAGGGTATTATCTCAATGTCAACCCTTTTCCAAGACGACCGTGATCTTAATTAACTACCAAGAGTATCAAACTTTAAATCACTTTTATATGTGTCTCAGTTCAGATAGAGATTAAAGAAAGAATCTAACAGAACAGTGAACTTGCATAAGAAGCTGCAAATTATTTTTAAGGTTGTCAAAGACACGAGAACTTCATCTGATGACAAAACGCAAACAAGTACAGGGCATGCACAGAAGTCTGAATTCGTGCATGAACATTATACACACAACATATATGCATGGAAGCTCGTTATGATGACAACTACTAAGTTGAAATTAACATAAAGATTCTAGCATGCACAGACACAATAGAGGAACATGTCATGAGGAGGCTAAGGAGTGGCACCAGGACTGGGTTGAGCAGGAGGTAAAGGCTTTGGAATGTATGGGATTATAGGCGTGCCGTGCTCAATCGGACCCGGCTTTATGGAAGCTTTTGAACTTGGAGAAGGATCAATGGGGTGATAGTCATCCAGATTCACATTTCTCACATTGCCTTTCTTCTGTGTGCTTGGAGTGTAGCCAGTCTCCTGTAGTTTGAGAGCCAGAGACAACAAAACCCAACATCATCAAGAACTTTGATTAAGTAGCAATTAATCAAACAGACAACAACTTGCAAATTTTGATGTATAGCTTGTGCAGTGCTTGACACAGATTTCTGATTGAGTGATTCAAACTTCTCGTAGACAATCATTTGTAGAGTTCATGTACCTTGAGCTTCCTACTTATAGCTATCCTTTTTGGCCCATCACCAGTGTGGTTGAAGACAAAATCTGGAAAAAAAACATTAGGCAGATGTAATTTCATTGTGTTTCATTCAAGATAATGAAGATTTGGACTTGATAGATCAACTCCAGAAACAGAATTCAAATTAGAACATTCTAGAAATATCTCAATTAATTGAAAGAAATTTAGCAATTTAAGCATCAACAACTTACAACCAAATATATAGTCAAAATATAAATCAGAAAATAGTAACACTGCTAGCTACAAACTTGAAAGCCATTTTATTTGCTACTATTAAAAGTGAAACTTCAAATAAATCAAAGAGAAATAATTACCTGGATAAGAACAGCCATTTCTGCTGCTAGAGACATTAAGGACTAGTACTAGAAATGTTCCAAGCAGCAAAACCAAAACCCAAAACCCAGAAGCCTTCATCATGTAGAAATATATGCAATTACGCCAAATGA